ACCTATTTAAAGCCATATGCTTGCAACTGCCCCTTTAAGCAGATGGGGTTTCCCCTCAAGGCACATCTTTGATAAATTTAATACAATCCCAAGTTACACATTTTTTAGTTTTTCCAGAGGTGGAGTGACTGCATGCATTTTCCACAGCCCATTTCCTATAACAGCACTTACCTGTCAACAGGGGGTGGCCTAGATACCTATTAAGGCAGGGGTGGGCCAACCCCCAGCACATGTACCACAGTAACCCAGGCAGCTTTTGTATGTAGCACATAGATGGAGCAAGGAGTGGCAGACAGGGCAGGCAGCAGAAAGTACAGCGACAGATCAGACAGGAGAGGAGAATTGGGGGAGCACTCAGAGAGGGTGCAGGGTTAAATTAGGAGAGCAATTTTCATTAAGTGCTACACATAAGCAAGATGTTGGGCCCCCACTGTTGTAGTAAAGGTAGGTGCAATCCTAGAGAGAACCATCTTACAAAAAAAGATCAAAAACAAAAAAAGCCTGAAACTTAATGAGATACACATGTTCAGCACTGAATAAAATACACTTAGAACATGACATAAGGTAGGAGATGCCCCACTGGCAGACCTGTTTCCCCTAGTCGCAGACTCTCAGTAGGTGCTGCTTGCTGCCACTTGCTCTGTCAAGGGAAGAACCATCAAATGCGATTTCTCGGATTCCCTGCAGTGGCTGCCACTTGCAAATAGTTTTAGACTCTTAAGGGGAAAACTTGCTGAGAGCTTCAGTTATTTTGATTCCTGGAAAGCCACAGTAGTGCTTTTTAGAACCATTTCTGTGGTAAAATATTCGTGCGGCCGGCATAGCAGCTGCATGCAGTGCAACCACGGTTGCTGAATTTTCCCCCGCTACATTTGTTGTACTCATCAGCAATAATGTACCAAGGAAGCCATATTAAACAAAAACTGCTTGCTGCCATAATCCAATGAAAGCAAAACTGAATTAATAGATTTCCCAGTTCTGTAAAGTTGTGAAGTCTGTGTAAATTGTATGTGCAGAATATAAACTCCTACATGCATTCAAAAACATTGGAGTTTCAGGTTTATTATTACTGAAAATAATGGCCAAAGTCAACTTTGGTTTCAGCCCCATTAAAAGAGAATTACTACAGTAATGGATATAACCCAGTGCTCTCCATAGTGCTATTTAACTGCTGTGACAACAGGGGAAGAGAAAGGAAACTCTTGAAAGACAGAAGGTAGAACCCTTCTTACAAAAAAAGTTACTTGGGTACATTGTATTACATGTGGAAAAAACAAAACAAAAAAACCAACTTAAGTAGTAGTAAATTCCAGAATAATTATTTGACTGTTGTGAACTGACAGCTATAGCTGAGAAAACAAAGATTGTTTACCAAAGTTAAAGCAAAGGCATGGACAGCTGTTACTCTGGGGGGAAAAAAAAAAAAGGGCAGTGCAGAACAAAGGGGAAACTACGCGTTCATTCAGGAGAACAACTTCATCATAAAGTGCTACATATGACCAACACTTAAACCAGACAGTGCTGTATGTATTTTCAAGGCACAGGGCACTTATTTTTTTATTTTATTTATGGAGGACAGAAGGCAATTCTCTTTCCATTGACCCATTTTCTTTCCTTCAAACACAACATGCAAGTAGCCTTTACATGTAAAGAGAGAATACTGCCACTAGGTGGCACCCCTCAAACATCTATTAAGTTACTGAATTGCAGCTCCTGGATCAGGTGTAAAGCAACCAACTGGGTGATGGATGGTAACTGCAGTAGAATCCAGGCCATTTGTTGCTCTGTGACCAGTGTTACCAAGTCTGCTTATAATAAGTAGAATTGGGCTTGTTTTGGTTTTTTTAAGTCATGTTTTAAGTCACTAGTTGATAAGTACCCCCACTCCTCTTTGAAATGAGTTGGGCTTGTTTTTAAAGGCAGTGCCCCCCCACGGCTCTGACACTTGAGAACACCGTCTGCGACAGCAGGCCAAGACCTATCAGGAACTGTGATCCTCCTCAACGGCTAGAGAGACCACTAGGTGCACACCTAATTTAGGACAGGGATGCTCAACCCCCGCCCACCTATGGAGCTGTATCATCCAGCCTACAGGCTCCGCAAGGGTCAGGAACTTTGGCAGCAGGGGAGCAGTGACAGTGTTCATTACTGGTCCCCAGTCAAACCTCTGAACTTGTGAGGGAGCCCTTGGACCAGAGAACTTGGCCTTGCATACCAGATCCTGCCAGTACACAGCTGAATCAGGGTGGCCTGTAATCAGGGCTATGAAGTCCATGACACCCATAAGGTCCACAACACCCGTCAGCTAACGACACAAAACAGCAGTATGCACAGAGGCTACAGGTTAAGAACAGGGTGCCATACAAGGACACCGAGCAGACAACTCTGCAGCAGAGCTTGGGTCCTGTAACACGCAACTACTTATCTGTCTGCTTAGACAGATCTTACACTTGCCCTATGCTTCATCCCTTACATGACACTAGGGGGGCACCAGTAGATTTCTGGGGCCCATACCAATAGCCAATATTTAAGGAGGCATATCAGTTGATACTGATCTGATTTCCAATACAGCTGCCTCCAGCTGTAAGTCTGGTGTGGTGGAAGGGGAGGGGGGAAGAGAAGGGGCATGGGGGGGTGCACACTAATGCCCCCTGCAGTGAGGGAAGGGGCAGGCACTACCTAGGTAGGGTGAGGGGCTGGAGCTGTGGCTCATGGGGAGTGGCAGGGGGGACTCCCGCTGCTGCTTGGGGGTTGCCCCGGATCTGCACAGGGCTCTCGGTGGGGGCTAGAATCGAAGCGAGCATGGGTGATACTGGGAGGATGCTGCATCTCACCGCCGCTACCACCAGGCACAGCCCCTGTTTCTGACACGTGCGTGGAGTACAGCATTAAGCTGGATGAAATTTGGAGCAGCGCCGCCGGCACCTGCTCTGAGCCCAGCTCCAGCCCGCCCCACCCCATGCAGACCCAGGGGGCACCTGCCACCCCGAGGTGCAAGCAAGAGCCACCCCAAGCCACCACTGGGGGCCTTAACCTTCCCCCCTCAGGCCCCTTCCATCACACCGGACTTACAGCTGGAGGCAGCTCCCCATGCTCCTCGCTGCTCGAGTGCTGCACCCCAGCTGTGTGGCATTTATCCGCCCAATTGGCCCATCAGACCATTATCTGATGCAGCTGGTTTTCTTTCTATGGGTCCCACTCCAATCTCAGGCCGGCTGTCAGCGCACCTCTACGCCGCACACGCGGTCACCTCCCAGCAGGTCTCCCCGCTCGGCCTGCGGGGATCACAGCTGCTCCCACCCACCTGCCCTCTCCTCCAAGGTACCCACAGCTCCTCGAGGCCTGCAACTCACCGCGCAGGCAACCCGCTCGCAAGGCTGCGAATCGCCCCAAGTCTTGTTTCCTGGAAGCCTTTCGCTCCAAGGGGCCCCGAGGGCGGGCGCTCCCAAGCCCTGCTCCTACCTGCGCGGCTGGGCTCTTGGATCCAAGCGCTCGCTGCCAGGCACGGGCACCCCTCAGGGGAGAGGGGCAGAGACGGCATCCCTGCGGAGAGAGGGAGGGCACCGTGAGGCAGGGGCGGGGCCACGTGCGCGCGGAGGGGGAGGAGCGGGGCCGGCACACCCCCCTCCCCCCGGCCGCAGCACGAGCACGTGTCGGAGC